CTAACTGATTTTGTGCAAGTGCAAGCCAGGGAGGTATACTCTTCCTTGGTAGCTACCCCTTGTTTCCACAGCCTGTATACCTCTTTCTTTGCCCTTAGGCTTTCCTGGATTTCCCTGTTCAGCCAAGAAGACTTCTTGGCCCCTTTTCCCTCTTTTATGTGCAATGGGATTGTCTCCTTCTGTGCCCATAGGATTGCTCCCTTGAGGAATGACCACCCTTCCTGGACCCCCATTTTGCCAATGCTCTTGAGTTTTAACACCTCACTAACTAATTTCCTGAACACACTGAAGTTAGCTTTTCGGAAGTCTAGCATTTCAGCCCTGCTGGTTAGTTTACCTATCCTTCGCTGGATAGTGAATTCAATCAATCAATGGTCCCTCTTCCCTAGGTTACCTTGTTACCTGCAGATTCCCCACCAGGCCATCCCCTGTAGCTAACATCAAGTCCAGCAAGGTATTTCCCCTAGTGGGATCCTATACCTCCTGAATTGGGTGGAGGTCCTGTATGCAGATTATGTCAACAAGTAAGGGGGTTTATTTTTGGAATGATAAAGTGTGAAGAGCCAATATGGGCTTGCTAATTGGGTATGGAGCTGGAAGTTAAGAAGTCCCTAAATTCTAATCTTGACTCTGTTTGGAAATCTTAGGGGATGACTCCTCTTTTTTTTTAACTGAGAACTTAAAGAATAATGGTGAACAACTGATCGTAGACTTTGGAAAATGTCTCACATTGTGTTTTGTTAACTTTTATCTTGTTCAGTTTGTTGTAAGGCCATTGTTAGGGTTATCAAAGTAGTTTTGGCTGTGATGCATACAACACCCTGAGGGCACTAAACTCTTGTCTTTTTCTTTTGACTAGCTAGTAACTTACATCTTTTTGAATACAGCTGGGTTTGGAGCACATCTACTTGGTTTAGATTCAGCCTGGAGAAGGCTGAAGGTAATTTTTACAGACCAAAGGAAGTAGCTTATATCAGCACCATGAATTGAAAGTGTCATATATTTTTAAAATTCTCATCCCATATTAAAGCTTTTGTTAATCCTGAATGATTTGTTTTCAGTACTTCTGCACCTGAAAAGGTTACAAGTTTTCTTAAGAAACAGACATTGCCACCTTTGCTAATGCCTTTCTCAACTCAATATTTAAATACTATAGTTAGGCGTCTACTCAACTCGAGGAGGCAGCTGGCCCATTTTGTGGGCAAATCATGGGACTAGCTGCCATTTTTGAGGGCTTATCGTGGTGCCCCTCCCACCATGCCTCAGGTTATAGGGCCCCGGTGTCCCTGTCCTCTGCCACTAATTGGAGGAGGGGGCTGTCCGTCATATGGCGTTGCCCTTCACTGCTGATTGGCTGAGAGATCTGTCTGTCATGCAGCCCTGCCCCTTGCTGCTGATTGGTGGAGAGGGGGAGCACTGTATGAGAGGCAGCCCTCTCAGCCAACCAGTGGCAAGGGGTGGGGTAGCAGCCATCTTGCCTGATCACTTTCATGCTGGCACCCCCATTCATGCCAGGCTTCGCGGCCAGGAGGACTGCTGGCTCCCGTTGAGGAGCCAGCATTTATTTTAGTAAGTCTTTTCCATCCCTCACATTTCACAGATTGCCTGATTTTATAATTTCTGTGAAATCCATGCAGTTGTGATTTGGGTAGGTCCCTAACTATAGTTCTGTCTTCATGGAGTTGCACCTGAGGTTCATTTGGAAACTGAAACCCAAGTTTGTAGAAAATACGGCTGCTAATTTATTAAAGTGATGAATACTTTGCAAAGAGAAAAATTCATACTGGTGGTTCAGGATCTCACTTGGTGAGGTGATAAAAGAAGAATTTGGTCTCGGAAGAATTTGAGATATTGGTTTTGACCCCTGAGTCTGGATAACTCCTCTTCTATGCATTTTCTGCTTCCATAAGGCCTTATGGGACTCTTATTTAACCTAACAATCAGATTAATAATGTGTATCATAGTAAAAAAGCATTTATATTTATTAACCAATTAATTAATATTGGTTAAATTGCCTTAACAGACCTTTTATTTTTCATTAGCAGCATTTTTTGACATTTACTTAGCTACATCCAGGTCATGTGATCACTTCTAACTATTACCTGAAAATGCATGTTGTGAATTATAGTAGAAGAACAAGCACCTTATTCTTTCAAAAAACCAAATGATCAGAATGGCATGCTTATAATTTTTTTAAAAAATTTCAAAAGCTTTTATTGCTTTGATATAAAGCAGAAAAGTATAGTAAAAGAAACTCTATTTTGAGCAATGAGCCTGTAAACTAGTGGCAGAGTTGCAAAATAAACTGAGAAAAGTGGAAGCATTTTTAAAATAAACTGCTGTAAAATATCTTTGTTTGTGCACTGTGTGACAATGTAAGAGGTCCTTGGTGACCCAGAGAGTTTTACTTCTGCTCTGTGTCCTGTAAGTTTTTATCTTACTTTTTCCCATTTTCCACCACACTGGAAAATATTTAACTTCTTTCTATAGTCCCAAACCTCATTGAAATTTTCCTGAGAGCACTGTTTAACCGTTTTCTCCTTCTATAGATCTTACCTCCTCGTCCACTTTCTTTTTATGGTATTATCAGTTCATGCTTTTGTCTATGGTATGTCCCAGTACTTTAAAATCTGCTAATTCAAAAGGGAATAAAATCATGTCTTGAGCCTTACAAAATATTGTACCACATCTAATATTTCTTTTTTGAGCATAGCATGTGAGAGAAGATCTTCATTTGGAAGGAAGGGGATCTTAACTTCATAGAGAAGAGGAATTTTCATGTTATAGACATTAAAAAACACAATTTGAAAAGACTTGTGGGTGTGGTAGATAGACAGACTGGGCAGTTAAGAGAAAAAATAACTCTTTCC